CCGGGACTCAGGACTAAGGCAAATAACAGTCAAGCCACCAATCAGCACCATAGTTGTAGATCCCATCATCCATCCCCTTCATGCACTGGTTGCAGATATCCCCCCCAAAATCCCCCTGAACCCTACTCCGGCAAGTCGTACCACGATGAAGTCACCGTCTCCACCGCTGTTGTACCCTATTTCAACCCTACAGGCTAGCCCCTTCGCCGCAGAGCGCGTCATCTCCCGCCGTCACAGCCACCACAACCCCCTGCCTCCAGCACCGAACCTTGGAAGCTTTTTTCAATTAGGAAACATTGGGAAACACGGGCACAAAAAATCCCGAAAAATCCCATGAACATTTCAGCGCCCACTATTCCCACAGGGAGAGGGGAAGAGAGGGAAAAACCACCCTCTCTCCCCATGGAATACTCCGGCGCCTATTGAAGTCTCAGTTACATATAAAGGGGTCACAAGAGCCAAAGGGATTACTCCTCAAAAGACAACCCCCTGTCTGTTCACTGCCTCCGCGGGGAGGATCCCCCTCGCCTCCTCGCCCCAGTTCAGAACAACCCCCAGAATACCCCTCCTGCTCCCTCGGTCGCATACAGTACCCCCTAAAGTATGCCCCCGCAGAGCCGAAGATCCCCCTTTCCTCCTGCCCCACCCCCTCCAAGCGAACAGCCCTCTCAACTCTCACCCTGCTGACATCAGCACCTCTTGTCCTCTCTCCCCAACCGCCATAGCTGATCCGACCCAAAAATCACCGTGGCCCAAAAAAAGGACAAACCCTCAATACCGCCCCTACCCTCTCAAAGATCACACCACCGCCTTGTGTAACCCTCGCAGGGAGGGACTCCAACCCTAAAGGAGATATTCATTCCAACACCTCTGACCCCGATCCTACAACATCACGAATTGAGACTCCCTTCCTAAGAACAACAAAATAAGACCAATTTCTTTTCTTTTTTGGAAGTATGGCTAAGAAACAAGATCATAAGCAAAATTCAGAAATCAACTCAGAAACCCCCCATCAATCCCCTATACCTCACTCCGGCAAGACTTATTGCAGCAGAGCCACCGTCTCCGCTGGTGTTGTACCCTATTTCCATCCTAAGAGCTATCCCCCTCACTAGTAAGACGCTTGCTATCCCACCATCTACTTCTCCCACTCACCTCGATTTTTGGACCGTCAGACCTTCATCAATTTTTAGAACAACAACTAAGAAAGGCAAAATATAATCCGAGTACAGAATTACTTCAATTCTCCAATTGGGGAATCAAGTACAGAACTGAAAATAGGACATGTGTAATCGAGAAAAACCTACGAATGATAGATTTGATATAGATTTTGATATCCCAACAAAGATTTTCGAATCGATTCTCACACCGCACTTTGAGAATCATTTAGCAAACGAGATTGGCGCTTTTGAGAAAATTTGTAAGAAGACAATTCCAAATCATACCTGGGCGTTTTTTAACAAAATTTAAATTATTTCAAAACAAAAAAAATCATACGAAACTTATAATCAAAATTAAGCATAATCAGCTACTTCGGAGTTACTAATTGAGAAAACACAAAAGAAAGCAAAAGTGGGATTTATCCTCCCAATCAACCATAAGAATCAATCAACTCTAAATTCAAATCAGATCAAAATCAAATCAAAATAAGAAGATTAATAGTAATTATTTGAGTATGAGTTTTCATGTTGATATGGATCAAAAAGCAAAAACCAAGTTATTATCACGAAGATCATTAGCAACAGCTAACAAAAAACCACGGAGATCATCACTATCAAAAATTGAAAAAACTCCTCCCCCACTTCCTCAACATGCACCTACTTGCCACCTTTCCCCTCAAACCCTACCCCACCGTCTTCGGGGAAAGAGGAACACCCCTCCTCCCACTGCTAGCCACTAGGCATCGAAGCGATGCTAACACCGAAGACAAAAACGACCCTCTTCGACCCCCCCAAGGATCGGAAGACAGTGCGACACCACCTCGCCAAACCTGTCAGCGAGTCGTCATAGGAGGTTCAAACCATCCTAAACATCCATTCACCACACTATTGGGGAAAGGGGGAGGAGATCAAACCCATAGCTCGTTCTGAGTCACGACCACAGCCCTTTATTTGTCTTTCTCACCCTTCGATTCCAATCTTGGCGGTGTCCATCTCTTAGGTGTTACTAGCCTCCTCCACGGTGTTTTGTCCTCTCAGTTCGCCGAACAGCCCACCTCAGCTTCGACGATACAAATACTCGGTCGTACCTCAATCCTCATATTCTCAATATGGGCTCGACAAGGGCTGACACTACACCT